ATGCGAAATTGATAGCAAACTAGAGTAGCAACCAAATAGAAAAATAAACCCGACCGACCTATTCAACAACTGGTGGAATTGAGACCTATGCAGCTAGCCTCGTATCCCAAGAACACAATGACGTCACTATGAGGTACCAGTTCTACCGGTATGTTATTAATATAATTATTTATTTTTTTCATTCTTATTTTACTAGGGAATTTCCAACAGGCATCATCGCTTTTTTACAGGGTACCCTAAGAATAATGTAAGTTATGAAGTTATGATGTCATCCTACAGGAGTTCCTGACCAGCTCACAACAATTCACTTGCACTGCCCAGATCACTTAGTCATACTGTGTATGGACAGGATCGAACTGGATCGTTTTCTGTTATCTGTCATCCGGGGGTGGGATGAGTATTTTTTAAACTATTTTTCAACACGAAAATTTTCAAAGTGCAATGTAGCAGCAACAATGTGCGAATTGCGTCGAAACCGGAAATTATGTAATATCTGGGGTTCAAGTGCTGTCTTCTGCATCAGTAGTGAAGAATGAAAAAAATAATTAGCATGCTCTGGGAATAGCCCAATGGAATAGACAACGTATACGTTGTACCCATGAAGTGTGTTGCCGCCGGAGAAACAACAAAATGTCAGTGTGAAAAACGGGGAATACCAGAGGGCCCCTAACAAGACTAGGAAAGAATTCAAATTCGTCATAGAATAGGGTGAAAATAATTTCAATATCATAATACTCATAATGCATAAGTCTAAGGCACAAGTCTACGTATGCCTTGTTGTTCTGTGTATGTCTACTTCCTTATGCCAATACGTGTTGTTGTTGTGCGCGCATGTATGTATGTGTGTGTGTAGCACACAAAGAGAGTATGTGTGTGTGTGTGTGTGTGTGTGTGTGTGTGTGTGTGTGTGTGTGTGTGTGTGTGTGTGTGTATGCATCCATGTGTGTATGTATGTGTGCGTTGGTGCACGTGTTCGTATGTTTGTGTGTGTGTGTGTGTGTGCGCGTGTGGAAAGCATAATGGTTATGCGCGCAAAGGACATCATTGTATATATAATAGGCTTAGAGCATGATCTAGCAAATAGGTACTGGCGTACTCGTACAGTGCGTTTTGTATTCCATCCAGCGGACCCCATCCTTACAGTGTCATGGATACAGTACTGCCGGATGCAGAAGAACGGAGCGCCGAAGAACGACCAGGCTGGAATTTCATCAAGCGCAGCATATCATTGTATACACGGTGACTCAACTGTGCATAGACTGTACTACATGAAAACCTGTGAAGGTGACCACTCTGACAAGGCGAGCACCTGTCCCATGGGACTACTACAACCAGGACCAAGGGATGCTACCTCCACTCAAAGGACCCTGGATAAGAAGAACGCCTGTACACAGCGACCACGTTTCGAAGGTTACTTGAGCGGTCGCCCTAAACAGAGTTCACTGAACATGAAGATATAAAACAGCCTAGGCCAAGGAGGCCGACCCCCCCCCCCCCCCCCCCTGTTCTTCGGTACCCGACAGCAGCACCGTAGCGGCTGAACTTAACCAGATGCAGTATCTGATGACTAGCGTGCCCGGTGTGTACTCTCGCTCATTACCACGGGTGTGTTTTGGCCCCGGCCGCCAGTATCCGTACACTGCACCGGGAAGACCTGTAGAAGGCGGCGCGAGAGCTGCCGCAGATCCTCCGGCGATAGCTCGGCCATGAGAACGTCGCTGTGCTCCGGCGTCCAGGCGGTGCTGCGCAGGGCGGCAACGAGACTAGCAGTGTGTGGCGGCGGTGGTGGCTGCTCCTCCGCGCGTGTCTCCGCGATGCCCGCTCTCTCCGCAGAACGCGACCTGTCAGGCTGTGTCACGTGCGTGCCTGGGAAGAAACAAACGACATCGTTGAACAGGCTAGAAAGTTTATACGTGTTTATACGTGTCACCCCCTTCTCCCCTATTCAAATACACTCTAAAGGATAAACCTGCCTCTGAACTGAAACTGGTTATTTTCAACACAGAACCGAGGAAAGTATTTCGCCTGCCAGCAACACTATCTGACATTCGATAGCTGCATCTCATACAAAGACACTCCCAATGTATATACAGTCAGGATTGCCAAAAGCGTTGGTCTTTGATTTTGAGAATTTTATCACTATTAGCGATATACTATTACTTCAAGTACTATGACCGATACTGCATGTACTGTCAGACCTCGCATAACCGCACACATCCGTTTTCCACAAAAAATATCCGGATAGGCGAGGGAACCGGATAATCGAACACACATACTGTATGTATGCATGGCATATGCTGTAAATCGGAAACCAGCGATTTTCTTCTGGATGGCGAGGGATCCGGATAAAAGAGGACCGGATAAGCGAGGTCTGACTGTACTGTATGCGAGTGGGGTATGAACAGACTCAGTGCGCCGTACACATGCACACTGCATAGTTGGTTGCAGCGTGCTGTAAAACCGGAAAGTCTTACGAGTCACAACGTCTAACGTTTTAACGACCACATTTTTTTCGTTATTTGAAGAAACGTTATCGCGACATGTTTGCGTGAAGATGTGCATACAGGTGGGTGGCCAGGTAGCCATCGTTAAACTTTCTGCACGTAATCATGCCAAAATTACAAAAAACGTTAAACTTTTTGCTCGTTAAACTTCCGGTTTTACAGTACTGTACAAGCAGAAATATTCGTCTGGAATTTATTTTCGTCCTTTTGGACTAAATAAAATGCCGGACTAATGTCGATTTGTCCAGCTTTTCAATACACTCTTATGATCCATGGACGAAATTTACAACCGGACGAACTCTCTTTCTTTGGAGTTGGACGAAATTATTGACCGACGAAATTTTCTGCCTGTGCAGTACGTCCTGTGTACTCCTACTTTGAGAAATGCACCCTATCATGCCCATGCTGCCAAGTCACCTGACACACAACGTCAGCATATCCTCACGATGGAGGCATTTTGGACAACTAATACTACAAGTAGAACTGACAAAATAACACTGGGCAAATTTTTCACAAAGAAGTAACTTCCTGTTCGCCTCTGACACCACTTGTTTTCACATCAATTACTTTTTCGCCCAGAAGTGCCCAGAATGCAGGACTATGCACCCTAATTTCGTATTTTTCCCGGGGGAGACCCCGCACCCCCTCCGGCCGGACCACCCCCAACGGCAGTGTTACGCGCCTGACAACGCGGATAAAAAAAATAAAAAATAAAAAATTCGACGGGTTTGCGTACCGGGCAGGTCAAGAACAAGGAGTCGTACAACTCCCTGGTCAAGAACCACCTTTCCGCTTCCGTGGGACGCCACCACCCCATGATCAGACGTCAGATGCGGCTCCTGAACGGTGCGCGGATAAGGTCTATTGAAAGTTTGAAACGTCTGTCACAGTGATTGAGAGTTACGAACATTTCAAATGTACGGTCAGCGCCCGGTTCCAGGTTGCTGTTCTCCTTCTTACAATAATGATAGGAATTAACAGAAGTGAAGACACTACCTCACCATGCTTTGCCGTCCACAGCTCCTCGGCCAGGTCGCGGTTGCGCTGGGCAAGGGAGCGAGACAGGGCGCGATGGAACTCGCCGAACGCACTCCTGCCTAGACTCGGCAGGAGCTGGAGAAGAGCTTCACTCTGTGAGGGTCGCAGTGATACAGATAGCAACAACACATATGCACAGTAAAACCTGTAACTAAAGACCACCGTGACTAGCGACCAGCCTGGTACTACAGTAAAACCTGTAACTAAAGACCACCGTGACTAGCGACCAGCCTGGAACTACAGACCACTTCGCCAGGCACGGACGGTCTCACATTCACATTATGGTTGTGCGGTGCAAACCTCTAACTAAAGGCCACCTGCCACTAAAGACCGCTTTTTCTGGCCCCCAAGGGGTGGTCGTTAGTCACAGGTTTACTGTACCTACATAACCCAAGGACAGTGCACAACTCTAGTATCAGCTTTGCTCCGACAGAATTTTGAGATGCTCGCAATATCTGCACTACAGTAAGATCAGGCGCCGAAGAACGCAGGGGCTCAAGGCGCAGCCTAGCATCGTTCTAAATTTCTCAAAATGTTAGTTGTTCTGTTACTATTCCGCCATCATGCAGAGCATACAAGACGACCATGCCATGGGAAAAACAACATGCAGAAAACAGTTCATGCGTTCTTTATTCTGAAAATCTAGCCCGGATTGTTCTTAAATTTATGCCAATTTCCAGCCTAACTGTTTTTCGGCGCCCGATCTTACTGTATCACCAAAGAGTATCTGACTACACTGTCTTAATCTTGCTGTCACCCAGTATGGCCTCTTGAACGCCACATCGAGTGCAAGTTGAGGCGTGAATGGACTGTAGAGCCGTGTACATAGTGATACCATTCTTCTGTGTGTGCAATGCCCTAGTTAAGTGTATATAGCCACATGCTCACATTCTCTGCTGCAGTGACGTGCACACACAGGACAGCATGGTTCGGATTCCACTAAAAAAACCTATTATTTTTGTCATGCAGAGCTTGAATGTGCACTCATCCTCACCTTTTGCTGAGGCTCGCGAGGTACGCCGTAATGACCCGTCGTGATGTGCCGCATATCATCAGAACTCAGCAATCCGGCGCCGTGCATGTCCGCCAGCAGGTCCCCATCGCAAGAAAGAGAGCTGCGCAGCGTCGGGTACAAGCGCTTCAGAATCAATCGGTCCTGCCTCTCCATTCGAGTGCACAGCAGCGACCTGCCTGGAAGAAGCAGCACGGGATCATGGGCAGCAGACAGACCCTTCTCAACAGTTCCGCACATTTTCTGATGCGCTCGTGCATGTGGGAATTGTGAATTGACATTTGCAAATTAATTTTATACATGCCTCAAACTCCTTCCACATAATTATGTGCTCAGCTGATTTTCGTTTGCAGTGAGCGTGAGTGGTATCTGGAAATATTTCTAGCGCGGACACGAGAACAGCGCGAATGCGGGCTGTGCTAATGAAGTCAACAGGCTCTCTTCGATCCAGGCATTTAAGGTCGAGTCTCCAACCAAATCGCCAGGCCATGCTGTGAGCATACAAAGCACATATTTCACGGAATCGAATGGTACTTTTCGGACTCAATTGATTATACTATAGAAACGTGCTGAACATTTATCAGCGCGGTGTGTGGTGCTGGACCGACTTACAGAGAGTCTTGCGGGGAGCAGCAGCGTATTCAGTTATCTAAGCTCCATCGAAGGTAAATTATAGCTCCCATTAGTCAAACGGCTCCTTCTCCATCAAGATCTTCAAGCACCAAAGATTATGTGACTCACGGAAATGCAGCCCTTCAATAAAATACTCACAATGTTCTCTAAAATGAATCCTGTAGCGCACGTAACAGCCATGTGTCGACTACCAATCCATGGCATCAGTCACACCGCGACGCGAGTCACTACACGTAGCCTGATGTAGGGCAGAACGATGGCGGAATGTGTGGGCTGAGGTCAGTGAGGGCAGGGTAATACTACATGTAATACTAGTAATAGATCTACAGACTACAGTACTGTTCTAATATGCGTAGCTCGAGCGCAGATGGGCATGCACGAACGCGCGCTGTCGCGCGGACCGTAGATCTACCGGTAGATCTACCCGACTACGGTCCGGATCAAAGGGAGTTTTACGACTCCCTGGTCCGGATGCTTTACTTAAAGGGGAAGTTAAGGCAAAAATTAAAATTTCACCAGTTGTAGTCTTCGGGGTGCTGAGTCGAATGGTCTTGGTCCGAGGAAGCTGAGACGCTCCCTTCCTACTTGAATCCCAATCGAACTCGCGCACTTCCACCGAAACTGGGTGACTGCGCCCTACTAGATGGGGATTTGTATGCAAAATGTCACTAAAAGCTCCATTTCGTTCTTATAAAGGCACGGATGACCGCGATTGGCCCATATGTTGTAGTCTTTTGGACGCTGAGTCGACTGGTTTTGGTCCGAAAAGGCTGCGATGCAGCGTTCCTCCTTTATTCCCAATCGAACATGGTTGAAGAAGCAGTCACGTGCTCCTGGGTGCCCAAATCACCTGGTCACCACGCCAGCAGGTGACAACTTTCACACCAAGGTTCAACTCGAGTTCAACTCGAGTGACATGACTGCACCCAAAAAAGGTCAAACAGGCTAGTAAGTTGTACCCTGCTGGCACGGTGACCAGGTGACTGGTGTACGCAGGAGCACGTGACCGCTTCTTCAACCATGTTCGATTGGGAATAAAGGAGGAACGCCGCATCGCAGCCTTTTCGGACCAAAACCAGTCGACTCAGCGTCCAAAAGACTACAACATATGGGCCAATCGCGGTCATCCGTGCTTTTATAAGAATGAAATGGCGCTTTTAGTGACATTTTGCATACAAATCCCCATCTAGTAGGGCGCAGTCACCCAGTTTCGGTGGAAGTGCGCGAGTTCGATTGGGATTCAAGTAGGAAGGGAGCGTCTCAGCTTCCTCGGACCACGACCATTCGACTCAGCAACCCGAAGACTACAACTGGTGAAATTTTAATTTTTGCCTTAACTTCCCCTTTAAGTCTTTGTAAGTACCGGTAAGTTTAGTTGTAGATCTGTCATGTAGATCTACCATGTGTACTGTGTAGGCGGATAATCTGGCCACCATGGCACCAGCTACATGACTTGTGCGTCTTTATTAGTATTTTATCACTCCCTTAGTATTGACTCACATAGATTTTTGCCATACCTAAGCAGTCAAATATTCCTGCATATTTCACTCCTTGGGGCTATATTGACTGCTTATATTTGACTGCTTAGGGGTTGCGCAGTTGAACGGTGCCTAGTGCAGCATTGTCACTGCATGAGTAGGCCGTGGTGCAACGGTTGTGCAATCATCAAACGGGATTCATGAGGTTATCGTTCTGGAATTTGAAATACGGACTGTTTGTCGTGATAAATCTAATATTGACTTGGTACTTGGTCAGTATAGGAAATAAAAACCTCGTAAAAGACCTCGGCTTCGCCTCGGTCTTTTACTCGGATTTTATTTCCTATATTGACCTCGTACTCAGTCAATATTAGATACGTAGTACATGGTGTACTTCATGTTCACTGTTCACTGACGCTCTAACACTAATTTTTTAAACGTCGCTAGCGCTGTACATGATCATGGAAGTGTCTTTGACAATGTCAATGACATGTGGCACCTCTCGCGCTATGGCCGGGCGTGGAAGGATGGGATCCCATTCTTCCACGCCCGGCCACAGAGCTAGAGCTAGAGGCCATGGAGAGCAGTGCTTTTAAAGGGGAAGTTAAGGCAAAAATTAAAATTTCACCAGTTGTAGTCTTCGGGGTGCTGAGTCGAATGGTCTTGGTCCGAGGAAGCTGAGACGCTCCCTTCCTACTTGAATCCCAATCGAACTCGCGCACTTCCACCGAAACTGGGTGACTGCGCCCTACGAGATGGGGATTTGTATGCAAAATGTCACTAAAAGCGCCATTTCGTTCTTATAAAAGCACGGATGACCGCGATTGGCCCATATGTTGTAGTCTTTTGGACGCTGAGTCGACTGGTTTTGGTCCGAAAAGGCTGCGATGCAGCGTTCCTCCTTTATTCCCAATCGAACATGGTTGAACATGTGGTCACGTGCTCCTGGGTGCCCAAATCACCTGGTCACCACGCCAGCAGGTGACAACTTTCACACCAAGGTTCAACTCGAGTTCAACTCGAGTGACAGGACTGCACCCAAAAAAGGTCAAACAGGCTAGTAAGTTGTACCCTGCAGGCACGGTGACCAGGTGACTGGTGTACGCAGGAGCACGTGACCGCTTGTTCAACCATGTTCGATTGGGAATAAAGGCGGAACGCTGCATCGCAGCCTTTTCGGACCAAAACCAGTCGACCCAGCGTCCAAAAGACAACAACATATGGGCCAATCGCGGTCATCCGTGCTTTTATAAGAACGAAATGGCGCTTTTAGTGACATTTTGCATACAAATCCCCATCTCGTAGGGCGCAGTCACCCAGTTTCGGTGGAAGTGCGCGAGTTCGATTGGGATTCAAGTAGGAAGGGAGCGTCTCAGCTTCCTCGGACCAAGACCATTCGACTCAGCACCCCGAAGACTACAACTGGTGAAATTTTAATTTTTGCCTTAACTTCCCCTTTAAATTTCGGCCAATCGGCTACTAGTACTATTTTCGTCTTGGGGGTTAGACAAAGCTGTCAAAGGGAAGCAGTAGTATAGCCATGTACGGGCATGTACTCAGATGATGTAGGGCTTGGGCCCGCCTTTCGGCACTGGGAGTTCCAGCTCGCTCGACTCGAGTCGAGTTCTCGTCGCTCAGTAGAGTCGAGTCGACTCTACTGAGCGAAGAGAACCCACACCTCGATGTGGTGAGCTGCGTCGTGGGGATTTTGCAGTCAGATGTGCGACTGCGGGGCTCGAACCCGCGACCTCTCGGAGATAGACTAGAGCCCGTTGAGAGAAGAAACGAAGTAGGGTAAGGCATACAGCACCGCGAAAAGAATGAACTGAAGAAGCCTTCGAATTCGTCTGTCGTTCGGTACTTACGCACTACAGCACATGTATGCGGAACATGCCCGAAATAGAACAGGAATGTAGACAAAGACTATAAAATCAGTTGGGCTGCAGCCTGCAGCACTTCTTCCGGCCATGCCAGACGCTGAGACGGTCCAGATCCACCTGTCCTACTACTACTAGTAGTAGGGATATCACCGTGTTTTTTTCTTTCGTAGTAAACCAGAAAAACTGTTTGTTTTCGGGAAGAACTACAGTACAGGATATAGCATAGAAAATTTGGATGAAAAATCTTGAAGGATACCAGAGATATGAGGCGTCAAAGTCTTACGCCAACCTTCATCATGATGTATGCGGAATGCCATACTGCTGTGGCACCAACAGGGTTCAGTTCCGGAAAGCCTAGCAAACGCTTAGCAACATTACAATCTTGTCAGAATGCTATGAAATCTGGCCTGTAGGTGCAATATAGGTGTTATATAGGTGCAATACAGGTTGGTTAGTCCTAATATTGACCAAAATATAATATTTCGGCAAGCGATGACCAATGAGAACGAGCGCGGCGCCCGTAGCAACCACCATAGCAACAATGCTAAATCCATTGAACACGAGTTCCTTTACTATGAAATTGAAGTGAGCACTGATGGCTATGGTTGCATTATACATGTACAAATAATAAATACAGCAGTTTGGTCTTCACGACTTCAGATGCCCAACTTCACTGCGGCTGTCACACAGTTGATCAATCATGTACATGTACATGTACATTTTACATGTAAAATGCACAATAGTGAAATATGCGTACAATCCAATCACTGACGCGATCCATGTCAGAGCACCACTCCATAGCAATTTCTTTCTGGTTTCAAGGCGACGAGTCGAATACAAAATCATAGCTCACTTTGTCGCAATAGCGAAAGTCTCCGTCAGGTGCAATCTTTCACTAGGGCCAATAAATCATCTGAAACACTCCTAGCGCTTGAACATATTGGATCCAGAAATTCATTCATTTTATGCGACCAGGAGGTGAAAGTCTTGAAAGCGCGATGAAGAGCGATCCCCCAGCTCGAGAAGAAAGCACTATTCTACATAATTCGAGGTCGCTGAACACGATGGTGGGTGTTTCCTGGCCGTGTACTCCCTCCAAACGGATGAAAAATCCAATTGAAAACTACACTACTCACAACAAAAAGCTCAAACTACAGTTGCCCAAGCAAGTGCGGCACCAAAACGAGCAGGAAGACCTCAGCTATCAAACGCACCAACTTTCAACTTTGAAAATGAAAGCAGGACATAGCAATTCGAAAAAAACTGCAGCGAAGTCCATGGTGCCACAGCTACCATGCTAATGTACGTGACCCGTGTGAAGGCTGTTTTCAGCTGATTTGTCACGTGACTGAACTCCCTACTAGTAGATCTACTACTACAAACAGTACTAGTACACAACGGTACAAGTCATGATGTCAGCCTTTGCATTTCGGTGCGTGGACATGTACATGTACATGTATTTGCGCCAGAAGTGAGGTAAAGAGAAGCCTCCTGCTAAGCAGACATGCCAGTATTGTCAGATTTTGTGGAACTTCGATAAAAATTTGAAGGTTGATATTTATTCAGGCGCCCAGAGTATGCGGCATCATAGCCAGGCATATTCCGGGTTCGACGATAATAATAAATTATTGTTATTGTATGAGGAGGTGACGTTCCTCAGGCTCCTCTTGGAGCTCAATGTCTTCTTCACTTCGAACGCTTGCGTCTCAACGTAATGACAGTAGTACAGAACAGGACTTTGGTGTGGGTTCATTCAATGTCCGCGGCTTGTCGTCAAGACTAAAGAAACAGCAGCTTGCTGATGACCTTCGGTAATACAAAATTAAAATTTGCAGTTTGCAAGAGACTAAAATAAAGGACGGCTGCGAC